ACAAAATGGCAAAAAACCAAACTTGTATGACAGCGACTGGCATCCATAATGCTCAGGTATAAGTGTATGAAAACCTCCATAAGCAATGTAGAGAAGGAAGAAAAAAGACACCTGGATTAGTGAAATATGACGCATCCCCTCTCAGATCCCCTCCTCTTCTCAGCTTGGATGTACGTGCATACGTGCCATAGAGACTGGGGCAAACTTTCTGGTGACAAGAAGCATCAAAGGCGATTCGTATTTTCGTAGTCAACTTTCTTGTTTAAAAATAGCTTGGTGCGGAATATGATCTACGCTCCGACCTCGCACGACATCGCGGTAACGTCTTCAGTAATACCCTTCCTCGATGCTCGTCGAACAGCTTGCTAAAATTCTTCCGTACGCTGGTGTTGCACTAAGCTTCTCGTACTGACTTTGCAGTCGACGAAACGCTAAGTCTTTATTAGTTAAAAGAAGATGGTCTTTATGTCTTGTTTCCCGAGAAAAGGAGACAGAGATTGTGCCGTCTACGATCCTAACCATATCATAGAATTGCTTAATGACTATGGCATCCGCCTGTTCCTTTTCGCCAATCTAAGCGAATCGCTGAGAAGGCTACTTACAAGTTGTTCGTTCTTTGGTTCATCGCCTGCAAAGAGAGTCGAAATCGTTAGAAAACTATTGGAGGCAGCTGGGCACTTCAGGCCAGGAACACAAAACAGGGCTAAACTTGGTTTGCAACAAGATATAAGAACCTGATGGTTCTCATTCCTGTACAAATCTACTATGCTTCAATAGCCATCAACCCCAATGAGCACGCAACTTCAACTTTGTAGTCTGAATTGACAATGTCGCTTGAGTATCACCTTGGGACCTTCATGATAGTTTCGCGTAGCTCAAGCCGCATCGGATAATCGTGGTGGGTCCAAAAGTACGAGCGTAACCCTTGACGATTCTTCCGTAAATTAATGATAACTGAACCTCAGCGTTTAATGTCCTGGTAGATCTAAAGACCGAGATTGGCCAACGAAGTACAAACGAAGTTGTATTGTGAGCCGTAATTCATGTCTTTTGTAGATGAACACCTTTTATTCCGGGATGATCACCATTGGGACCGTCTTGTCCTTCGCTTTCGAAAAATATACACTTTGCCCGGAGTTTGTTACAAAAAGTGCTATAATGGGAGTGCTCAAGTAGACTTCTTTTTACAACGGTAAAAAAGCCTCTACTTGAGCACTCCCATCATAAAAGTCTCAGCCACCCTCCACGCGCGGCACTTTTTGTAATGAACCCTAGGCAATATGTATATTTTCTGAAAGCGGAGGACGAGACCGTCCAATGGTAACCATCAAGGCGTACAAGACATTCGTCTACAAAAGTTATGAATTTTTTTAATGTTAAAAACTAGAAAATCTCTAGAATTCATTAGAGCACCCTTCACCCAGGCTCTTTTTTTAACATACCCCACGCAAAGTATCATATTTTCTGAAAGCGGAGGACGAGACAATTACAATGGAGATTAATTTCTTTGTACAAGTTGTTCATCTACAGAAGTTACGGATTTTTTTATCCTAAAACCGTAAATATTCAGAATCACAACCCACACTCTTCATCAGGCCTTTTTTCAACAGATTCCAGGCAAGCTACACATTATCTAAGCGGAGGACAAGGCGGCTTCGACGTGAGGCGTACAAAATGTTCATCTGTAGAAGTTGTGGATTTTTTATCTCAAAGTTGGTAATTCTTTCGCAATCACCACCCACCGCTTCGCCAGGCACTATTTGAAAAGACCCCAAAAAACTACATGATTTTTGAAAGCGGAATAAAAGATAAACTGAAAACAAATTTCTTGCTGAAGTTGCTGTTTATCTGCAGAAGTTATGAATTTGTTCATCTTTCAAAATTCGCAAATGCTCAAAAATCGTTTTCCTTCCCGAAACAGATGTTCTCGCGTACACATCTTCTATTCTATGCTATTTTCGAAAACAGACAGGGTGGTTTCGATCCTACTTCAGTCTTCACATATAAGATAAAGACAACAGATGGCGGAGAATTGAAAATGGTGAAACGCTGCTTAAGGAAAGTGATGAGAGAACACCACCACTCTGTCCCTCCCTCTTCCGTCGGTCGACATTTTGAAATTCTCGATCAAGTGAAACACCCCTCACCCTAGAGGCGCTGCGACCACTGTGACCCCCTTCACACTGGAGGGGTCAATCCACCTTATCGCACCCATGATCGATATGCAATAGTCTCGTAACAGGTTTTGTTAGGAGAATCACGAGGCAATGAAAGCGCGTAATGTATGCCCGCCCTTGAGATCACGATATATTTGTGGTATGAAGATAGCCGGCAAATAGATCAATGGCTGCGGCATGAAACCGAGCTTGGGCTTAGGTAGCGACTTGTTTCCTAGACGTTATCGCTTGCGGATGCTAGCGACTAAGTATATACTACACGACTACAGGGCTTTTCAATTGCAGTGTCGTGTGCACCAGCATCTCCGTTCCCGCGCAGGACTCTGCACCTCTACCGTGATGCCCTCTAATCGTTTGCAATCAATCCTTCCCCACCTTGGTGAAAAAGGCGCAGAGTCCAGGGCATCCGCGCGGGAGCGGAGAGCTGGTGCATCCAACACTGCCGTTGATAAGCCCTGTACAAGAATCCATGTAAGAGAAAATAATACTCTACTTTCCGGAGTATAAGGCTCACCTATGTATGAGACGCACCTGCCGCGCGCGAATAGTGGACCTTAGAGTTGTGTTTAGGATTCGGAGGACATCTATTTTTTAACTGGAGTTGATTGCCAGATGAGTGTCCTAGAGGCTTCATGTAAGTGCTGAGAATTTAGAACGGATTTAGCGATGTCTCGAAACAAATTGAACGTAGCTTTTACGACAAGTTGCGAAGGTATCAAAAGTACGATTGTTCAAGTTGCACAAATTTTTCTGCACCATATTAATATATGGAAGATAAAGGCCCGTAGTAAAGCTCGAAGTTTAGTACAGTTGAACTGAACTTAACCCATCAGTTCACCTTACATTAGGTGAACTGATGACCGCCCACCTTCCCATGCAATACGCATGGCGAGTGAACTGATAGTTGACATCTGCCCACTTGCTGCAGTCAACTCGTGCACATCAGTTCACGTTCAATGACCTGAACGTGAACTGATGTTAGAGTGATGCAAATAGTGTGTAAAAGAGAAGAAGCAGACAGGACTCCCGTAAGTTGCTCCTGAGTAACTTGCGATACACATCAGTTAGGCTATAAATGCAGACAAAATCGGCGCAAAACTGCACAACCGCGCCCGAAAAGGAGAGGGTCGATGAACAGCTGATTTTGGCGAGTAAGACAAAAAAACAAATTCTTTTTTTTTGTAAACTTTACTGATTTTTTAAAGCTGTCCAGAACAGAACTATTTGTTCACTTAATTAAATTCACGCTGCAAAATTCTGTTTTTTTCGTGAAATTTTCGTCACAAAACGTGTTCTTGTTTTATCCGTGCATTTGCTAGGCAAAATCCTTGATAGCGGTCATCATCGATTGCGATAGTGGCCGCTATCCAAGGTTGCCCGGAGATGCAGCAAAGGTCTTACCGTCAGGCGGAGTCGCACCACGGCCGCGCGCGTTCGAGTCCAATCGCTTACCCTTTTGTCCAAACTAGCTCACGTTGTTACTATTTCAAGAACACACTTGATCATAATGTCTAGGAAGCGATCCGCATCCAGATCAATAGCTCACGGGATGCTAGACTGAGGCGCGATGAAATCGCCTCAAGGGAGCTGCCCTGATGGGGGTTTACGGCGGCGGCCCAGGAGTTCCCAAAGCTTCGCCGCCTTTCCTTGCAGGGGTAGTTAGCACCCCCAAGTCGTCCTCGCACTTCTCAGATGGCTCCGTCCATTTGCCCCGCCCACTGACTAATCTCATTACGAGTTGTGCAGGTTTGGAGGATACTTCTCAAGTGTTCTGGTTAAATACTGAAGGATGGAAAGTGAAAGAAGAAAGTTTATGAGATCTACCATTGTAACATGTTGCCTTTGCAATATAGGAACAAATTTATTACTGAGAGGTCTTTTGACCATGATGTGTTAGTGTGGGCATCGCTTTGTTGGAAAATTCCGTTTTTCGATATACAGCAGAGATAAGTGTACATATACGTTTGGTTGGAATTATGTCTATTAAGCAAGTTGCAGGTGTCCCAAATGTCTGGCGGATTTTCGCGCTATTTCGACAGACCGCACGCATCGAGACCGTCATCGCACGTTAGCTCGCGCGCGGTGAAAACAATTGCGGCTTATACACCAGAAAGTAGGGTATTTCAAATTGAGGTTGCAAAAATGCGTGCACGAAAAGCTACCTTACCGTAAAAGCTCGAATTTCGAACTGAATACAAATTGCAAGCAAGTTATGCCTGCTAGGCGAATAGTATATGCTGATCATACAAATTCTTAAGAAAACTGAACATTTGCCTCAGGGTAATCACCAAATCAATCACAAGCAGACACTGATTCTTGGAAACTTCGATAGACCTGCCGCTTAACGGTAGCTTAGAAGCTGTTATCGCATAATCAAACAAAAAAGTCGTATCGAATAAAATGTGGCTTATCTGAAAATTCGTATTTCGCCGCATGCAGAGGAGATGGCATATTGTTTTGAAAAACACATATTCCTTACCGAAACGATTGCGTGAAAAGCATTGAAATACGCAAGCAGCAAGAAACATCTTTTATGATTCTGCCGTGCCTTCCAAGGAAGCCGTTAATAGGCACGGCAATCTCATTTTACGGTAGCTTAATATCCAATAGATGTCTTATGTCGCATTTAACCATGATTTTGACTGTCATAAAATTGTTATTCATGAGTTGGTTGATATAAAAACGACCAAAAATGGGCAATCATCGCAGTTTCATTCTTCTACTTTTTTCGCATAAGCTATGACTTTTTATAAATTTGTCTTCCTTGTAGGTTACAGGTGACAATTGTCGGCGAACCTGCTTTGGGAGAGCAGATCTTCTAAAATGCAGGTAGTGTAAAAAATTTCCATTTTGCAAATCTGTATCTACAAGCTAAACTTTTTCCTATGTAGATTTGAGAAGATCGCTAGTATGACATAAACGATAGCTCTACGAGCGAAACTCGCGACTCTACCCTTTCATTTCTGTAAATTTTTGATTTGCGTCTAGGATATGAAATATTTGAGACTCCCGAATATGTGAAATCAGCAAATCTCAATATGTAAGAATTTCACCGAATTGCGAATCTGTCCCAAACTCTCAAACATCTCGACATTCATTTTAAAAACGTAAAGTGGATTGAATTTTTGGCATTAATTCCCTTTAGTTGATCTAAACCGAGTTGCGAACGCCATCAAAATTTTACAAAAAATAGAATTGCGCAAAAAATTGCAAACCTTCAGGTTGTGAACCGGCTAGTACCTTGTATACTTTTTCTCCTTTGCGGAAGAGCTGCGGCTCTATCAGATGAAGGTAAGAGTTAACTGTGTATCTCAGACCTTTACTAAAACCCACATTAAAGAATGTGCTGCATATCACGAACTGCGATCGCTAAGTGACTATGAGACCTTTGCCGAAGATTGTGCTGGAAAACGGGTACTCGGCTTCGACGCAGGAATATCAAACAAATTCTATGCAGGAAATATGGAACAGAAGGATTTCAATAGAGTGTTTGCAAATGCAGAAGAAGTGTCCTTCGTTATCTATATCGAGAACACCGAATTCACAAATTTGAGGATGCCAAAGCTGCGCAAACTGAAAGGTGAGCCTCCTCGTAACAAAAGCAGGGCTTGAAACCAAAAAAGCTGTATTCAGGACTGTCCATTCGTAATAATTTGAAGCTGAAACAATTTTTAATCAACAGGGGGATGACCTTTGACAGATCCAATGATCCCCCAACAACAGTGACAGTTGATGGTAATCCCGTGCTTAGCCAAGAGAGCTACGAAGCTTTGCGACATCTTTGTAATCATTGTGACATATTCGAGTGGTCAAGTATGTGTTCAACGCTTTGCAAAGGCTAAATTATTACATTTCTCATTTTTAGAATGCAGCGCTTTGGATCAGATAACCGAAGCGGATTACCAGGATTTGGTCAACAAATGTGCGGGAGAACACATCATCAAACAAAAGCCAGGAGCACGATTCTATCTGAATGCGAACAAGCTCAGCGAAGAACAGTTTGCTGCTTTGTTCTCACAGGCAACACATGTCCAGATGTGCATCAACTTCCACGATATGCCATGGAAGAGTATAACCTTCCCTAAATTGGTTCGACTGATTCCCTGCGGTTTCGGTAGGCAGATTACGCTTATCAGGGGCCTCTTAATCACTTTACCGAAAGCTGTTGCACGTGGTTAGGGAACTGAACGCCGTAAACTATCTGTATCGGAGAAATCTAACTTAAACCGATGCGATTATCTATGGCTAACTCCGGGGCCGGTAAATCGGTACCAGAGTAATCTGGGAGAATAAAAGCACTGACTTGGTAATCGGCTGACCTAGTCTCCTATCCGCAATTCACTGTAGTAGACCCGCACGCATTCATTAGCCTCTTCGACTATGAAGTAGAATGCGTTCGGGCATACCCGCAGAGGATAATGGAGACACCGAATCCTTTATCTTTTTAAGACACCTATGAAGTTCAAAAGTATAGAGGCTCCAATGATTAGGCCTATTACTGGCTTAGAAAGCAGGTCAAACATTGGATTACAGTACTAGGTCTGACAAGTCATGCCTACATGCGACGACCAGTTACCTACCCCTCGCCGCCACGCCAGTGGTTATTGCGCGTCCCGACACGCTTTCCGATCTGTGAAGAACTTTTCAGGATAGGAGACTAGATTTCGCTAAGACTGCTCACGGAAGTTGCTTGACATACTGATTCCGAAAAAGATATTCCTCATCATAGTTCACTTACGAAGGCGTGATAGTTACGCGGTCTGAAGTGATATTTTTAGAAATCGTACTTTTTTCTATGAAGGAAATATCCAACAATAAGATGCTGATTACACGATGTCCATTGCATAAAAGAGCCTTCTATAGTAGTCACGGTAGATGTATGGTATGTTATTACACCATCCAACATTGAATCTTTAGTTCTACGAGTGGTTAATTCTTCTTAGCCATAGTCAGCTTGGTCATCCTCTTTACAGTTCTACAGCGACCTGAGATTTTGATCACATACCTACCGTAATCCCGCAAAGAAGACTACACTCAGAATGAAAATCAATTTTCTTAGTGAATCCTTAGTAAAGTATTGGACAACCTCTGGCGCTTATCTTTGGAGGCAAAATTATGTTTGGCTTTCATAAAGTCCTTCAGAGCAAGTTGCACCTTTCTAAACACCATATTTGATTCCCATTTTCATTCCCGATATTTGGTTGCTATGATAAACGACGAATTCATCCTTCCCTGTCAGAAAGCTAGAATTTTCAGGAGATCCATCTTTGGACATCGTACACAACTACTATCTGACTTCAATTTCACTGCCATCGTACAATTCTGAAGGCTATGGCCGTCTCAATCAAATGCAGAATTTGGTACTCAAAAACAACTTCATACTTCCCCCAGAGATTCTTCAATCCTTCAAATCTAACTGCCGCTTCTGTAAGCTCCTGCAGTACAAAGGTATAATAATTCCTCTATTTCTAGGAAAAGTTAATACTTTGCGATTCTTGTATTTTAAGAATGCGACGATCTCAAATCTTCGAGTACTCGGAACGCCACCAATTTTGTGGACAAGTGTGGAGGAAAACGAATAATGTGGCCTTTGGAGGGGCATATTCTTCGCTTGGACATATCAAGACTTAGCCAGCAACTGGTGGACGAGCTGTTTGCTGATGTTGAAAAATTCAAAATGTGCATCACTTTGCGAAATTCGCAGATCAGACGTTTGCGAATGCCGAAATTAAAGGAGATGCACTCATGCGAACCTGGTAATACGATAAGTATAGTTCGGTAGGAAGCATGTACGCTTATAATTTATGCTACAGGACGCCCAGCTCTCGAAATCGAAGGAATGCTAGAAGAATTCGTAGTCCCACCGGATGCCAGGTTGAATATTTGGTACTATGGAACCCCGCCGTCTAGCTTCTCATCAATACTGGAAAGATGCGAGGAATGCGTTTGGGAACGAAATACCAGTGCGTTAGATCTTCTCATACTTGCACAACCAAGTACCCCATTAAATGCTTCTTTTGTTCCTAGGATGTGGATTTGGGTCGGGATACACATCGCCACAAGAGCTTCTGTCATCCTGTATGGGAATGCGGAGGATACAATATCCACAACAAATTGTTTTAACCGAAACTCAACTCCAGCAATTATGCCGGAATGCTGCTTACCTGAAGATGTGCATCATAATACAGAACACCTCCTTCAGAAAGATCAGCTGCCCCTATTTGCGATATATCGAACCGTGTAGCGAAGGTAGGTTTCTACTTCTGCGGTCGTGACCGTGTCCAGTCTGTGTCAATTGCGTCCTTTCGCATAGGAACTACGCCGCAGCGCCAAGATCTTACGTGTGGATTTCCAACTGATGAGATCTGAGTGCCCAGGCAATACGTGCGCAATCATCGCGCGGAGCTCGGACGCGACGATTGTGCCAATGGAAAAGGGAGCACGTGATTGACACAGACCATATAGTCATTTGCAACTTAATAGTGCTGCTAGCACTTTCCGCGCGGAACTCCGCGGCTCCTCGGTTTCAAATAGTTAAGAAAAAGATTCGATGCAGACCAACCGATCAGAAATGCGTACGCGCATATGTGCTGCCCACATGAGAAACGGTCAAGAGGCGCGATTTTTTCCGATTACCATCAACTTGGAAATCCAGTTATGTGTTAAGCAGGTCTATAAAAATTACTAGGCAAAGTGCGTTGACTTACTAGCTGTTTTGAGTTCACATTTGCTGAGTTTCATAGCTTTTGCTGAAATTTTGCCGAAATAAGCAATTCATGGCACGCAAAGCCAGTTCGTCGTTGCGGACGATGTCTGCTGCTCACTAATTACGCGCTCTTTCATTCCTCTGCCCGTCTGCTGTCTCTTCAAGGCATGAAGTATCTCAATCGGACACAACGTCGCCCAGTCCATGCGTGTAGTGAATTGCCTCTAGCGGATTTGCTTTTTAGTTGTATTCTTTAGAAGTTCTTTCACAAAATTCATGTTTCAAATCTCTTTTGAGATAATAAGACTGAAAACCCCATGCAACTATCCCTTACATACCCTAAAATTTGAGATGCTTTTAGAACGTTATTAACATTTTTACCTATAACTAAAAAAGAAACAGCAATTTTTTGAAGTGCGCAACCCGCAAGCACTGTTAGGATGACGTGAGTGTTGTGCAGCACATACTTCAAGTTACAGATGACACATAAAGTTGCTTGCTGAATGAAGGCGGTTGGCTTACTAAGCGGAGCGGAAGCAACGCGGCTCTATGTCATGTCTGAAGCGCTGCAGGTGCGGCAAAAATGATAACCGCGCGCGCGGCACATCGATTTATCCGCACAAGCGCCTTCATCTGGCAGGGAGTCTAGACAAGAGATTTAACTTTTGCTGCGCAGTACATTCTGTTTTTTTTTTCATGGTTTGCAGAATTGGGCGATTTCATATCACACATTAACTGTGGTAATTGAAGTTCACGAGCATTCAATATGAATTGAATTGTTTGCTTACAGGAAAGTCCGTGTTTACGGTCATACAAAATCCATACCTTATTGAATTTGACATTTCGGAGACTGTCACCTATCCAGCAAATTCCCCCATCTTTATTGTGAAGAAAAACATGAGGCTTCCAAAGGTGGTCATTGACAAACTGAAGCGGATATGTCCACATTGCGATATTGAAGCATACGTTTCAAGTAGGTATTTTGAGATTTTATGCAGCCCGTGTGTATTGTGGATTCCTATCCTCCTCAAGGATCAATTTTACCTGAATCTAATCATGTTTCCTCTTCAGAATGCGGCGCAATGGAACCTATCACAAACGTCGTCGACTTCATCAAACGTTGCGTTGGACAACCTTTCATATTCCCTGCTCAGGGTATTGGCTTGGAAGTCGATCTGACAGAGCTACCTGAAGAACAGCTCAACGCTCTCTTCTCCGAAGTGATCGAAATGCAAATATGCATAAGGATCAAAGAATCACAAATCAGGAGGCTTTCATTCCCAAAACTGACAAAATGGACACCTTGCGCACCTGGTTAGCAGCTTACGTGATTCTACTCGATCATCTGGAGATAAACGGGGTGTCTCAAAAATGTAGCGATCTTTAATGACTCCCCTTGGTGTATTTTGCGGACCTTGATATCTTGGCTTCAACTTGTTTACAGTTCAGACCAAATCATGAATACCTTTCCATTACTGTGGGATTACGATATGAGGCTCAAAAAAGGTTTTGAGCCTTTGTAAGCCAAATTTTGCTTTTTCACGGGGCTTCAATCCGAAGACTCGGTTGTTAAGGTAAACTGAAGCAGCAAAAATTAACAAAAATTACGTTAGGTATATTGTAACAGCTGCTTTTTCGATGCTCTTTAAAAAATTTCTAGCATGCAAACATTAGACCGTACAAAGTTTATCTCAAAATCTGTCACAATAAACTTCATCATTGGGTAAAAACTCCAATAGTTGTTGGGATGGCAGCTAATCTATCATGGTGCGGGGAAGGTGCGAGAAAAATCCTACCGTAATCCGACATTAGAAGGATAAATAGTTCTATTTGTGAATCTAGTTTAAAAGCCTATAATAAACATCTTCCAAGTACAAAGAAATTAGAGAGTTAGTTTGCGCACTTTCTAGACAACCTTTAGTGCGATAGTAATAGATTTCAAGCAGTATAAAATTCACTCGAGCTCATTCAGTTTCAATATCGAAATTTTTTCAAGCAATTCTTCATTAAAACAAGAAATTCCAGGAAAACCTTCACTAGATCTTTCATACAACTTTGAACTGCGAGAAATCGACTTCCCTTCGTGCAGAGAGGGATGTGTTGTTGGAGCCAGATTCCAGTACAACCCGAGAGTACCTAAGAGAAATCTTAATGCCATAATATCCATTTGCGACCAATGCACGATTGTAGAATACGTTCCCTGTAAGTTTACAGCCCATATCACCCTTGATCGAATAATAATGAAATCATATTCAGTCTGCGGTCTTGCTCCCGGGTACTCAATGCTCGACTTTGTCCGAGCCTGTGCTGGTCAACAGATCATCATTCCTGAAGGGGAACCTTTGGTGATTGACGCGACAAAAATGCCAGAAGAATTATTGAATCTCTTCCTCTCGAGAGTTGTCTACATGGAAGTTTGCATAGTGATGACCGCCACACAGTACAGAAGCCTAAGTGCTCCCTACCTCAGAGAAGTGAAACCTTGCCAATCCGGTAGGTTCTCAAAACTCCTGCTAAAGGAGCTTTCCTTGTCGCCAGTGTGCCAAATCCGTGTCAGCGCCTTTCCAACGGCGTGCCAGCGCCACACCGGAACGCGATGGGCGCGTCTTTCAATCGATCGGTTCCGACACGGCATTGGCACGGCGCTGGAACAGCGCGCGCAGGCACCCCGGATGCAATCTGGAAGCGACACACTGAAATGCAATTCACTGCAGTCAGCTCATTTCAAAATCACCTCAAAAATGTCATGCCAATAACTCAACCCCCCTCCATTCAGGAATGCCAGTCTTTACAATTACCAAAAATCCCTACCTTGCCAAGATCGTACTTCCGGAAAGAATTCGCTATCCACCACAAGAGAAGCTCTTCCTTATAAGGGAAAACCTCCGACTTACAATGGAGATCATAGAGAGGCTGAAGAGGATGTGTCCGCACTGCGAGATCGAAGGATTCTATTCAAGTAAGTGCACGAAATACTAAAGAATAAATTCTTCTAGGAAATGGATCACAAAGAAAAATGACGTGTTGCCTGGCACTTTTTACACTTGTAAATTTTGAAACTCAGCAAACAAAACAACAGAAATAACAGCCTGCTCTGGAAAAGGTCAAAATAAACCATCGCGAAAAAAATGAGCCAGCAGATAAATTCAAAATACTGTATAGACTGGAAAGCCGAAAGCTACATTTACTTCTTCCAATTATTTCTATTGCAGAATGCAGTGGCATTGGAACCATCACGAGTGTCGCTCAATTTATTCGACAATGCATAGGGCAACCCATAATTTCTCCTGCACCAACTGTTATACTAGAGATCGACATATCAAACCTGCCCGAAGAACAGATTAACGCTCTTTTTGCTGAAGTTGTCGAGATGCAAATATGTATCACAATAAGCCAGTCGTGGATCAGGAGGCTCTCCTTCCCAAAATTGGAAAGATGGCTATCGTGTGCGAATGGTAAATTTTTTTCAGAGTTTAGCCAAACTGAAACGACTACAAAGATCACTAGGGGAGAAAATTGAATATCTTAAAAACTGTAGTCTAACTCGTGAAGGCGTTTCGGAAAAATGCGGATGGTTCATCGTCGCTACGCGGCTGCGAACGCGGCAGTCGAGTATCTACGGTTACTGGAGTGCATGAAATACACGCAAAGATCGATAACCGCTCGCGCATCGCGTTCGCGTGCGAGTTCGTCATGCGACCATTCGTCTTCAGCCGGGGCTAACTTCTAAACAATTTTGTGTTCAAAATTCTACGCCTCCAAATTGTGTAAAACTAAAGTTTAGGCAGCTTATTGGCAAATTACAGGAAGACCTGCCCTGACTCTCAAGGAAAACTTTGAACTGGAATTTGTTACCTTCCCCAAATGCGAGGTTGGATGTGTCGCCACAGGAGAAATTCGCATGAATCCGAGACTGAAACGACCAAATGTTGACAAACTTCTGAAGTACTTCATGCAGGTCATCTACGAGGAATACGTTCCATGTACGCCCTACCTTTTGAGAAAGTACAATTGACTTTGTCACAAATATCTTTTGCAGCATGTGGTCTGGGCATAGGGGGTTTCACCGATGTCGACTTTGTTGCCGCTTGTGCAGGAAAATCCTACATCAAACCGGAGGGTGTAATTATTACGATCGATGCTCGAAAAATACCAGAAACGGCTATGGAAGCATTCTGCTCAAAAGCTGTCTACATGGAAGTTTGTATCATTATGTCTGAGACCGATTACAGAAGTTTCCGATGTCCGCACTTACGATATATTCGACCATCCAGTCCAGGTACATGCTCTCCATGCTATAGGGCTATTCATTGCACGCAGAGATAGGACGCAAGTGCGGACGTTGTCAGCGTCTATCAGTCTAGACGCACTCTCATCCCTCTAACCGTCTGGTGTCTCTCACGAGCACGAACTATTCTTAATCGGACGTAACGTCGTCAAGTCTCTGCGCGCAGTAAATCACTTACTTTCTTTTGATTTACTTGTTTCCTTTTTGATCTAGAATCATATATGTCTTACAGGAACACCCGTATTCACCATCATACACAACCCGTTCCTGAGAGTTATCGAAATTCCGCCGAATGTCCAATATCCTTCCGATGAGAGGATCATGCGTGTGACTATGAATCGCCTGATTCCCGTGCCGATTATAGCGCAATTGAAGAAGATTTGTCCTCATTGCGAGATCACGGGATACTTCTCCAGTACGCTTTGGGAATAGGAACCTTAAGCTGACTATTTTGTATTCACCCAACCCTTTTTTCAGAGTGCAGCGCCTTGGGACCAATCACAGATGTCGGCGCGTTCCTAATGCAGTGCGCAGGACAACCGCTCATCGCACCACAACAAGGAGTTGTACTTGAAGTTGATTTGTCACTACTGACTGATGAGCAGATCAATCGATTGTTCTCGGAAGTAGTTGAAATGCAGATTTGCATCACAATTGAAAGATCTCAGATCAGAACCTTGGATTTCCCAAAGCTGATTTCATGGGAAACATGTGCACCTGGTTAGTATGAGTTTTTCTGAGCTGAGGCCGCATTTAGTTTTCTGTGCCAGCGCAGTTCCAGCGCCGTGTCGGAAGCGTACCGACTAAGTTGATCAATGAATACGCAGTGTGTCCATATGTTTCGGCATGGCGCTAGGACGGTGTCGGCGCCCGGAAACTCTGAACGCAAGATGAAAGTTCGTTTTCCGCGAAAGAAAATGCATGTAAACAATGGAATACTGGAGGCAAAGACTCCAAGAGGGCTCTTCCTATTATTTTTTTGTGAAAATAGCGATTGGAACAGCAACCTCTTACCACCACAGCTTCTCTTTGAGAAACGTCCTAAGACGAGATTTACTCATAAAAAAAGCAGATGAATATTCCAATAATCTGCCTCTGTAAAATACAGGGGTTCCCAGGCAAAGTGATTTCGTTAGCCAAACATCTGAGAATTCACCTGTTGAATTCAAGCATTCTGCTTGAGAACTGGTGAAAATGCAGACAAGTAGACTAGTATTATACAATGGCGTACCCAGGATTTCGGCTCGGGGCGGGGGGGGGGGGGGGCGACAAGAAATTTTTTTCGATGAAGGGATGTGGCATTAGCCACGCACTCCGATAAAGTTTTAGGGGTGCTCCTCAAAATTTTTGCGGGTCCCCAACCGCCTCCCGAAAAAAAATTTTATGAGGCTAAAATGAATTTTCTAAGAATTTCAAAAATCATTTCAATTATTTACAAGTGCAGACAATTATTTGCACAAAATTATAAAGGGAAACTTTTGGGGCCACGATCGTTTGGGTATTTGTATAATCTGGCAACACCGACTGATGAAAAACTTGATAACGACACATCACTCTCCTCTTTTAGAAATCGAACTGATATTGCTGCGCAGGGAATAGTTCTTCTATTTTTTTTTTCAGAATCTCGAAATTACAAATTTACAGGAAGACGACCACTAACTATTCGATTCACCCAACTCAAGCACCTCAGATTCCCGAAATGCAAGAGAGGCTGCATGCGCAATGCTCTCATCGACTTCAATTGGCTACTACCAAGACCAGAAATCGAAGCGATTCTGATTTGGTGTGAGAACTGTCAAGTGAGACATCACGAAATCTGTGAGTTAATACTTTCTAGAAAACAGCGGTTAGAATGGCTACAACATCTTTTTCAGCCTGTGGTTTGACCGGACGCTTCAGCATGATCGACTTCGTCAGGGCATGTGCTGGAAGAGAACTGATCATTTCTGATAGGCCAATAATAATTCACTCGGACAATGTGACTGAAACGGAGATGAACGCATTCTGCTCTAGAGTTGTTTACATGCAAGCTTGCATCATTATTTCCGCATCAAATTACAAACAGTTTCGCTGTCCGAAACTTGAGGAAGTTAAACCATGCCGATCAGGTTTGTTATCATACAAAAATTCGGGGGTTTTTCTTTTGAAGCAATTGGCAAAAATAATTCATTAGGAGTACCGGTGTTCACGATCATAAACAACATGGACCTTCAAATTGTCGAAATCCCCGTGAATGTGATCTTCCCATCAACCGAACTCCTAGTAGAAATCTATGGAAATCCTGACCTACCACCGAAATTCCTAGATGTGATGAAAAAGAGATGCCCAAGATGTAGAATCGAAGCGGCTTCAGGTTGTTTCGAACCATGTAATTGCTATGAAAGCTTCCTATTATCCACTTATTCCAGCGTGCGGTCTCACTGCAACCGAATACACAGATAAAGAGCTAGCGCAAGCTTGCGCAGGCAAGACGATCATTCGTCCGGCTAAAGGATTCTATCTGACTATTAGCTCACGATATGTTACTGAAGTAGAGATGAATATGTTGTGTTCGAGGGCCGTGCACATGGAGATTTGCATCATCATCACTGAATCGCACTTTAGATCCTTGCGCTGTCCATATCTGAAAGTGCTCAAACCATGTCTTCCAGGTTTGGATTCCTGTCAGATTGCGTTCAGAGTTGTGCGGTGCCGGTGCCGGATCAGCGCTGGCACGGTGCTGGCACGATGCTGGCACCGACTTCTCTGAATGCAGCTGCAGAAGCCTTTTCAATAAGTTTTTCAAAATGTATTCTTTAGACAGACCAGCAATCATGATCGTGGACAATCCGTTCTTTGAAGCGTTAGAAATTCCAACGACGACCACTTATCCGCCAGGATTCCCCATCATAAAGATAGGAGGCAATCCTACGCTACATCCAAAAATTCTCACTACGTACAGGCAATGGTGCAGACACTGCGATATCCAGCCAGATTACGGTGAGGGTCACAAAATATAACGTCATGAAAGCCAAAGCCCCGCTAATAATCATAAAAGTTAATATTGCAGCTTGTGGCATTACCAGACCTCAATTCACGGTAAAAGAGCTCGTCACTGCTTGTGCAGGAAGAAAATACATAAAACCAGCGCCTAATGTCATTCTGATTGTGACATCGAAGGATATAGACGAAGAACAATTGAATCGCATGTGTTCAAGAGCTGTTTACATGGAAATCTGCATCGACATCATCGATTCTGACTTCAAAATGCTTAAGTGTCCAAATCTGAAGGAACTGAGGTCATGCCAGCCAGGTATGCGGAGATAACCGTAACTCTGCGATTTGAAAACAAATCACAATTCAGGTCGACCAGCCATCAGGATTATAAACAATCGCTACTTCCAAACTCTATACATTCCTCCTGGAGTGGCTTATCCTGAGGGTAGTCTAATTGTCGAGATCTATAACAACCCATCACTGGATCCCAGCATCATTCCGCCACTCAAACAATGGTGCAAACAATGCCGCATTGACCTGGAATACGGTAAGTAGCCTTTCTCAAGCGCCTTGTATAGGCTAGCAAAATATGGCTGTATGGTGTACTTGCGTTGCCGACAATGTTTGTGCGGAAGCAAATGACACTTGTGTAAATGCCGACATCGTGCTTGTGACTTGCGCGCAAAAATACGGCCATAGAGCGCACATTGATATTGTTCAAGCGCAATTATTGCGAACACTGGTTCCACAATACACTACTTAAGATTCAAAGCTCCGGATTTGACTGGAACTTTGCACATACAAATTATTTGACATGCTGGTCACGAGAATGACAGCCATTTTGCATAAACTGGCAATTTTTCGTTGGGTCAGATAGATAGGCTGTGGATTCAAAATCTCAAAATTCGCTAATGTTTCGTAAAGGGGCATCAAACACAGTCGGAAAACCATACTCTTTTTGCGTTTCGCGGGTTCGCAGGTTCAAGGGTAGGATAGGTAGGGGGTCAAAATAGCAAATGCTAATTGTGTGCAAAGGTTGTCTGACACGCTGGCCACAAGTACCTCGTTCATTCCGCACAATGAGCCTTTTTGTGGATTCTGGAATCTTTGACTTGGAGATCGGAAAATTGTTTATTTGTTTATTTTCTCATTTCATTTACCCTCCAAATAAGACGTTAGCAGAGAGCAAGCAATTCTTACTCAGCATGCCAATTGTAAGTGACTCCTAGACCAGATTCCAGTCAATTGATTCCAGTCGATTCCAGCCCCCCCCCCCTCCCCCATGACATTTAGCGCAACGCTGTGCAACGCTTTTGAGCGGAAAGATCATCATGATTCATTGATTAGCATGTCGATCAAAATCCCATAGACCAAATTTCAGCCAAACCCATGATTTTGATTCGTTAGCGTATACCTACCGTGACCCCATAAAATGATCTCTTAATGCAATATTATTATGAAAGACGGTACTATTTTTATTTGATTTCGATAATTTTTGACGAATTTCAGCATGTGGTATCAGAAAGAAGAGTTTCACGATAGCGGAACTCATCGCTGCTTGCACGGGTCACGAATACATTAGGCCACCACCAGGAATGCTTCTAATCATAACAGCCAACGATATTCCGGAAGAACAGCTGAACAAGTTGCTCGAAAAAGCAGTCTACGTGGAGATGTGTATCGAAATCAAGCGCTCCACATTCAGAAGATTGCGAATGCCAAATCTGAAGGAAATCAGACCATGTCAACCAGGTCAGCGCTCAAAAATATGCACGTTGGACCACCTTCTTTTGGCAACATATAGTTTTCTACCCTTCAAAATGATGATGAAATGCAGGTCGTCCGGCTATTTTGCTTGAATTCAACGCTTATATGGAGGAAGTCTTGATCCCGCCAACAGCAACATATCCAAGAGGGGAAGAGATTATACGTATTCAACGACTTCCTTCGCTACCGTATACTGCCATTGTTGAGCTACAACGATGGTGTCCACACTGCAGCATCATTCCTGATTTTGGTATGTTTCAAGGCTAAGTACAATTAATTTTGTATAATCGAGCACGAGGCTGCGTCCCTGGTCCCGGGTGCCGACGCCGTGCCAGCGCCGCGCGGGAAGTGTATGGCAAGTTCGATTAATCAATATGCAGTACGACGCAGGCTCTGGCGCCGGTAACCGTGCTAGACCCTAGCCGAGCCCACGTGGACTCACGCTTATCGATCAAACGCTGGCACTGCGCGGAACGGTGTTGGTACGCCGCTGGCACGGGACTGGACGAAGTCTAAGCAAGCTGACTTCGGCGCGGTTTCCTTCCTTTCTGCAACCATAATGACAGTTTCAATGCAAATATGTGTAGGCCGTCCGCATCGTGTTCGGAGAGCAACGCTGTTGCGTCCTTCGAAGATAATTCATAGCTGGAAGAGGCGCAGAGAAAACGAGCAGCGAGAGTGCACGAGGAAAGAGGAGTGACGCGCAGTACGCAGCTTGCGCACTCTTCGCGCACTGCGCGGACGGCCTATAATAACTAAAATTAGCGAAAAGGACTCTAAATATTGAGTTCACTTTTCAGTGTGCGGAATTTCCAAAAAGCCATTCACACTACAGCAAGTTCTTTCCGCATGCACAGGCCAGGAGTTCATCATGTCATCTCGTGGAGTCACCGTCGTTATCAAATCCTCACAGATTACCGAAGAGCAAATGAATGAATTAGTTGCTCGTGCCAAAGTGATGAAGATCTGTATTGAAATCACTAGATCTAGATACAGGAAGCTAGTCATTCCAAAGCTAAGAGAACTGTTGCCGTGCACTTATGGTAAGCCTAAAATCGAGTTGTGTAGTGCGTTACGGTAATCTGCACATCGTTTCAGGTCGACCAGCCATCAAGATAGTTGACAATCCATACTTCGTTGCTTTGGACATGCCTCCGAGAGTGAGATATCCGAAAGATGTAGCAATCGTTGAGATACAGAGAAATCCACACTTCGATATCAAAATTCTTGAAATTCTTGCCAGATGGTGCCCACATTGCACCATAAGCGGAGATTACGGTGCGTTTACGATATGACATATAGAAAGTCTGCCCTTAACAATGACTTAAGATTATTCAAATGATATTTTAGCTTGTGGTCTGAACAAACCCGACCCAAGCGCAAAGGAGTTGATGGCTGCATGCGCTGGAAAGAGAATGCTTGTTCCTATGCCAGGATATATGATAATTATACACTCAGATGACTTCACTGAACCAGAATTCAACGCCTTCTGCTCGAAAATGGTACAAATACAGGCCTGTATAACTATAGAAAAGTCCACTTTCCGCAAGATCAGATGTCCAATGCTGAAAGAACTCATACCATGCAAACCGGGTAAATCACGACATTCATACCTACTTTTTTATTGGCAAACAATAAAAATGGTCCGTATTTTAGGTATGCCAGCATTGAAGATTGTAGAAAACTTCAATCTGATAGAACTAGTCATCCCACAAAGCTTGCTCATCCCTGAGGGAGTAATACTTTTCGAAGTTAGAGACAATCCAAGGCTACCAATTACAATTCTCGAAATGTTGTTGAAACTTTGTCCAGGCTGCAGGATCTCCTTCGATGCAGGTTCGTTTATGACCACAAATCACAAATAACATATACTTCAAGCAACTTGAAATTAGAAGGATGTTGAGAAGTGGGAGGTGTAGTAATGCAAAGTAGACTATTTACGATCTGTGTCAATCACGTATTCCCTTTTCCGTAGCAATCACGCCAGCGTGTGAGCCAGCGTTCTCCGTTTGATGCAGCAGATTTGAATGCTCAAGCGTACATTCACCAACGAAGCGCAGAGTTCTAGCGTTGCGCTTGAGCTGATCGGAATGGGAGCGCATCTTTAACTTCAGACTGTAGGCTGCGTCCAGAAATGCTCGTGCTTGCTCCGCTCCAATACAGTTCCAGCATCGTGCCAGCGGCGTGCCAGAAGTGATCCGCCAAGAGCGATCAATCGATGTGCTGTGCATGCGCGAGGGTTCCAACACGGCGCTGGCACGGCGTTGAAACAACTTCAGCACTTCCGCGCGCGCGCAACTCTGAACGCAGTCTAAGCTTGGAATTCAATTCTTCATTATTAAGTAAAGTAGGTATTTCCTCAAGCAGAGCGAGAGGAATGTTGAAGGTTTGTGTGATTTGACAAAATTGTCAAAATTGAATGCGGATCAATTAATCCATTTTTAGATTGCGGTTTGACTAGACCATTCACACTGAGACAACTCATCAAGGCTTGTGCTGGAAAGGTGGTTATCAGACCGTCCATTGGACACAGATTCGAGTTCCCCTCAGACAAGCTCGATGAAGCCGAAATGAACGCTCTGTGCTCTCAAGCTGGATACATTGAAGCTTGCATTATCATCGTTGAGTCGAACTATAGATCATTCCAATGTCCACATTTGCGAGAATTACATCCTTGCGCTCCGGGTAGGAAAGTGGACGCACCTTTTGAAGAAATATAGTCTGCCTTTCCCAGGTCGTGTCGCTATCACAGTTGAGGATAATTCACAGCTAACACAGCTGTTCATTCCAATAAGCATTGCATATCCTCGAGGTGCAATCATCCTACAACTTTCTGGAAACCCACTTCTGCCCTATGAGATCGTCGATAATTATCGAACTCGCTGCAGAAAAGCTTGCCGATTCCCGAAACGTAACGGTAAGTAGATTTTTGTCCGCTCACGACTTACTGTAAAAAAAATAAACAAATAAATAAGTGGTTTTAGCCTGCATTCTGCAAGCACGTGACTACCGTGACAAGGAGTTGATCTCGCAATGCGCTGGAAAATCGGTAATCAAACCACAAAGAGGATTCAAACTCATAATAGATTCACGACAAATCACACCGCGCGAACTGAATGCACTTTGTGCGAAAGCAACTGTCATGGAGATATGCATTATCATAAAGGGATCGATGTTCAAAGAGTTGATATGCCCGGTTTTGAAGGAAATCAGATCTTGCAAGGAAGGTGAGAAGTGAAAAGCTGATTTTGATGAGATTCTGTCAAGTACAGGAAAAGATGCGATGAGACAGCGTCCGGAGTTAGCCTTTGCTGCCGCCGTGCGAGGGCCGTGCCAACGTGGCGCAGGACGCGTAGGCCCCCCTCCCCACATCCAACGTTTGGCGCTCCGACACGGCGCTGCCGCTCGCAACTTCGAACGCAACCTGAAAAGCTTCATATTATTAGAAGTTTTGATTGACTGAGTTATATTTCAGGAACACCTGCAATTCAAATCATCAACAACATCGATTTCGCCAAGTTCACAATTCCTAAGTATATTACCTGGCCTCGAGGAACGATTCCATACCTAGTGTATGGAAATCCAAAACTTACTCCAAGTAATATACTTATTCTCCAACAAATCTGTCCACAATGCAAGGTTTCCGCTGACTATGGTGTGTTTTATCCCGTCCCTTCTTAACCAGAACATCTTTTAACTTGAGAGGATCAATTTCAGATTGTGGCCTTACACGACCGTTTACGGTCAAACAATTCGTTGCTGCATGTGTCGGTAAAAAAATAATTCGACCAACACCCGGACATCTCATTGAATTCACTGTGAAGGGTTTGACCGAAGCGCAGATGAATGCATTCTGTCATAGTGCTGTCTACATGGAAGTATGCATTACCATGACAAATACCAATTTCGAAAGCTTCAGATGTCCACACTTGAAGGAGCTGAGACCTTGTGCAATAGGTAAATTGCACTTGTAATTTGCCGCGTCAATGTTCCTTGTGTCAATGTCGTGCCAGCGCCGTCCCAGCCTAGCGTAACGTCGATGGATCAATACGGGGCGCGTCCATGTGGGTTCCGGCGCGGCGCTGGCACACGAACGGCACTGTATGCTTAATTACCTTATGCTTGATCACTCTTCATTACAGGAAGAGCAGCCTTGACAATCTATAACAACAAATACCTGAAAATCCTTGAATTCCCCAAAAATCTGATAATTATTGACCAAACGATGCTTAGGATCTATGATAATCCAGTTCTTTCTGAGACTTGGATTACAAGACTCAAACTTATCTGCAAAAACTGCAGGTTCCCAAGCAGCGGCGGTAAGCGGATCGCAATCTATCTGAGCCCACAAAAGCAGAAATCTTTATAAAAAAATCTTTTAGTGTGCAACCTTGAACCACGCGCTTACAGCGATAAGGAGTTGGTAGCCAAATGTGCTGGAAAGTCAATAATCAGACCTCGAAGAGGCTTCGCACTCACGCTGCATTCCAAACATGTAACAGAGGAGGAAATGAACGCGTTCTGCGCTAAAGCCACAGTCTTGGAAATATGCATAACGATTGAGGACTCGAGTTACACAGCATTGCGATGCCCTCGTCTGAAACAGTTGATACCTTGCCAACCAGGTAAACTGTGACTTATACATTGGGGGTAGAGGACAATAGGTCGCCGATAGGCTCCACCCGAGCGTTTAGCTGGGACGAGCTATACATAGGAGACGCGTATTTGTTGCAGATATCCGCGCGGGGCCTTCTTGTTCCCTCGCAACCTAATGTCCTCTAACCCGTCCACTGGCGGTACCTCTACATAAACGTTACTTCAGGAATGCCTGCAATCAGAATCATCAACAACCTTCACTTCTCTATACTGGAAATTCCGCGAAATTTGATTGTTCCAAAAGAGCAGGTTATCTTCGAAATCTCCGAAAATCCGCATATTTCACTGAAGATTATCACCGTACTCAAACGTATCTGTCCGTGGTGCCATAAAGTCACTGCTAACGTAGGTCAGTGTGCCAGATTGTCTGCCATAGCTTTCGCGTGGTATTATCAAAAAACGTATTTGAGCAAATTATTCTATTGCAGCATGTGATTTGGAAGGCAGACATTATTCCGATAAAGAGTTAGTCGCAGCCTGCGCTGGAAAGAGAATAATCAAGCCAGCACCGGGATGGATATTGAAAATTACATCAAGAGAAACCTCAGAAGCGGAAATGAACGCACTTTGCTCGAAAGCTGTGTACATGGAGATTTGTATCGAGATCACGCGCTCATCATTTAAGAGATTACGATGTCCTTATCTCAAAGAGCTTCGCCCTTGTCAACCTGGTAAGTCTGCGTTCAGAAGTGACCGCGAACCGGCGCCGTGCCACCTCCGTGCTAGCACTGTGCCGGGGCCCACGTGGACACACCACGTATTAGGGCAATCTCCGCCGGCACGGCATTAGCACAAAGCTGGAGCGGCGCGGGCAACTATGGCCGAGCCTGTTTAATCGAGATCATTTGGACTATGGTATATACAGTTCTCCGCAGTTTCTTTTTTGTGTTTACAAGAGACTACAGCCGTGTATTTGATTTCTTTCCAGGACGCCCCGCTATAAAAATTGTCAACAACATGAATTTCGAAAATCTTGAACTCCCTACAAACGTGCTTTATCCACGAAACGCTCGTATACTTGAAATCAGCGAAGTACCACACATGCGTACAGCTCTCATCAAGAAATATATAAGATTCTGCAGAAACTGCAGGATTACAGCGAATCTGGGTAAGCCTCACTGATAAAAATATTACATAGATCGGAATGTAAAAGTTTAGGTTGCGGACTCAATAAGAGGGACTATTCGGATGCGGAAATGGTTGCCGCTTGCGCAGGAAAAGCCATCATAAAACCCGCTGAAGGATACATGCTGGTTATGAATAGTGATACCGTTTCGGAAGAACAAATGAACGCTGTTTGTTCGAAAGCTGTCTTCATGGAGATTTGCATCGAAATCAAAGGATCACAATTCCGTTCTCTAAGATGCCCGCACCTGCGACATCTGATTCCTTGTCAACCAGGTGCGTCCTTTCCATGCTTTTTTCCTCACCCTCTCTCAAAAAACCGAATCTTTGAAGGTAAACCCGCCATCAAAATCATCGGCAATCCATACCTAAGCGAAGTCTCAATATCGCGAACATTAATCTACCGCAGAGGAACTAAGACTTTGGAAATTCGTGGCAATCCAATGTTATCGCCAAGATCCCTTCGTACACTCAAGAAGCTTTGCCCCGAATGCATCATTCGAAGAAGAATGTAATTAAACTAATGTGTAGATCAATATTCTATTTAAATTGAGCTGTCGCAGGGAGTGAATGAAGCACATTTTCAAATCACTTTCATGTACCGCAAGATAAAACAGCAATTATCATCTGCAAATGTAACAAAGTTGCCATCTTTTTGGCAGTCATGGACTTATTTCCTTTGAATATCTGAAATGCAGTGTCATGAAAGATACCTGATACTTCTATCACTGAAGCGTAAAATTACAAAAAGATTGAAAATTACCTCATTTATGAGCCAAGGCTATTCTACCGAACCCATGCTAGCAGTCAAACAAGTTAACAAACTGAAACTGAGCTCAAAGGCATTGTCCAAGCTAAGTCTAACCTCCTCTGATTATTGCCGGCTCAATGTAGGCCCCAGGAGAGGGGCATCTGTGTTGGTCCGGTTCTCTAATGTTGTCTCCGAATGGAGAATAGACCTGGAACAACGAAAGTTCTACCAAGCCACGCCCAGAACCTGTCAAGCTCCGCCCAGCCAAGACTGCCTCCGGACACGTATTGACATGATAGTGAGCAGATGCTGCACACTGCACAGTGCAGTGCAAATGCACCCATGCAGTAGCAGCTTCACCCGGCTGCCATGCAGACGGGGACTAGTAATCCGAAACTCGTCCTCTCCTTTAAAAGAGAGTTCCCAGGAACTGGGTTTTTCTGAAGGTCTTGGACAATTTGAGCCTCATAACTGTAACCAGGGCCGCGAAAAGCTCCAGAATGACAAAAACATTGCAGGTGAAATTCTGGGCGACGCTGTCTTCAAGATCTTGGTAAGAAATCGTGTCGTAAAAATCTCGAAAATGTGATCTCGGAATTTTTTTTCACTAACCTTACATGTAAGCCATCCACGTTCACTGACCTAACAGTGCAAGAGAACTGTGCTTGCCTGCTACCTTTCTGTTTCTTCAAAATGTTTGGGTTGCAATTTTGCGAAATGTGCGAACACCACAAACTCCTGGGGTTAAAATTGAATGATAGTATTTTTATATTTTTATTGCCTTCACTAATATTAGGTGGTTGCAAGAATAATGTGCGTTTTGGAAAATTTTATAGAAGGCTATTACTTTGTCCACTCTTCGTATTTTTGAATGCAATGAAAACCAAGCAAAATTGCCCTCTCTTGCTCATTAACTTCGTGATTTGGGAATTGCTTTGCGGAGAATCCAAAAACTCTAGCACAGATATATCACTATACAAGCGATGCATTTGCCTCATCACAAAACTTTGTGTGCGGCAGAAGTGAGTGAGGCTCAAAAATGTGCCAACCTTTAACACATTCACGACAGGGCCGATTTTTCGATGACTGCCATATCGGACCAGAGCATATTTCGCAAAATTGAGTTTGCGTAATATTTTCAGGTCACTGATGGACCCTGTGGTCTGAAGTGTTAATCTTTTAGGAACTACTCGAAGAGGTGTATGCAGAAGTTTACTCGGTTCGCCTAAAAAGTTTCACCGTGAACTAAGAAAACCAAAAACTTCGGAAAGCATACGACCCACCGGTGGGTCGTATTGTCCGAAATGGCAGAACACGTACGACCCACCGGTGGGTCGTATTGTCGTGTATGTGTTAATCGGGTTTGGGACTCGAATGTCAAGTGGATCAAATGAAGCAAAATTTTTTCAGCGTTAAACAACACATCTATTGATCCCTCGACCTTCAGACGCACGAATGTAAAAAAAACTGGATAAAAAACTTGAAATCTCAATAAAGCAGACATTTCTGAAGCGGACCTGGCCTGAATCGATATAAATTTTCACAAAAGAGCAGGAGCGCGAACGTGGTTTCTGCAGCCGTAAGGCTCATAATGCACAGCTTTCACATCGATGTAGCCTCTTTCGCGATAACTTCGTCCCAAGAATCGACATAGTCCTTCGAAAAGAAACTTGAGCATGCTACTACTACCCAGACGAGGCTTGGCTGAACCCAGGGTCAAACGTTTGATGCGATTTGGGATCCTCCCTTTTATGCCACTATTTTGGGCTTTGATAACCTAAATGCTTGCTTCTGATAAACAACAGTATCATACAGCATGTAGGATTGCTTACACGAATAGGCGGCACCAAGTATACTATCAAGCACAGTGTAGGGATGACCTGGCGGCTTAAGTGGTCATGAACAGTAATGTTTGTCAGCCACAAGTTAGTGGATACTGGATGTAGCACACGATATGATTTTACAATGATAATGGTCGTAGATTCGCAAATAACCTACGACAGTGGGGCGGGCGACAGAAGGCGCGAAAGCAAAAAATTACAAAACGCAATGTTACATGGAGCATCACACAAGTTCAAAATCACATCATTACATTCTCGCACTTCATGTCCCCCCTCCCCTTTCCCATCTCCACGTTTTTGCGGCAGCCTGCATTAGGCCGTGGGCATACCCTCACGCGATTTCAGTCGCCACGCGATTTGCCAATTTGCCGGATGCCTTCAAATCTAATACTGGCAGAACAAAAATCCACAGCAGGTATAACTTTCGTAGGATGATAAATTACCGATCTTCCATACATAGAAACGCCTTAGGATGAGCTATAAACAATTCTTCCAAACCGCATCGCGTCTGGAATCGCGTGAGGTATGACCAGGGGCTAATGAATGCCAGATCATCTCAAAGGATGTCAGCGACCTTAATCAGAGATCACATAAAGTAAGAAAAAGTTACTTACACTTTGGATGAATGCAAGAAATGCTTGATTGCTCAAAACCTCCCAAATAAATTTGGATTAGGTACTAGAAAGATTCTAGAAAGATTTGTCTGCACTGTACTGCGGTCTACAAAAAATGGATGGTCTTAACGAAGAGGACTTTATAATCTGATACCTGCTCTTAAATTGTACTGCGTAGACTCTGGATTATCAACAAGAGCTGAAACAGAATTATAATCAAGAAAAATTCAGGAATGCAGAGCATATCACTTTAGTAGTTATATTTAATCATTAATTTTTTTCTAATAAGATATGAAACTCTTCTGCGTTTCATGAGTGTTTGACTCAACTCTTCATGTTTTAGTGAATGTACTGAGAAACATTCATCATGGTTCTGGAGATAACATCTCTTTGAACTATAATAATAGTCATGGGCTTGATACCCGTCTGCGACAGCAATTTTTGCAAGATTGAAAAAAGTGCTTATAAAGCGTAAAGAATGTTGCTGCTGGAAACATAACTTACTTTTTGCACAGATTTTTCTGCTAACAAAACCATTTCTCGTTTGCGTCTCCCCGGATTATCCTGAATCATGAATACACACGGTACTTTGAAAATTCGTGGATAAAGTCAGGGAAATGCTGAGGGGCTGCATTGAACATGTTGTGTAGGAGTGCAGTGCAGGCAGTTAAAGAAAAAAATTGCAGCTAAGATCAGTGAGCTCGCAATATCTAAATGCGACTCTAGCAAATTTGGGTGCGAGAGCAGGAGCAAGAGTAATGATTTTGAGCTCGAAATTTTGCAACTCACTAAAAACGCAACAGAATAGTTCAAATTCTTTGATAAAAATTGGAAGAATTGCGCTGTAATATAGCGAAATGTACTGTACTTACATATCAAGCCTAACTACCTAGGTAACACATTTTTATGTTCTACAAGCCCCTCAAATTATTCAGTGATACGGATCTTTTCAATACATGGCCAAGAATCAAGCTTCAATTGCTGAACTTTCGCGGATGCATGTCGCGAAAATTTGAGAGTTTTGCTAAAGTCCGCGAAATTCCGGGAATCTCGCGGAATTATGCGAATTGCGCAAATAGCGTCATAAGTTCCTTCGTAATGAATCTAACGCCTTAGGCCTCGGGCATACCTCACGCAATTTCAGTCGCGACGCGATTTGGCAATAGTTCAAATGTTCATAACTCATCGTACGGGGTTTCTGAATGTACGGAAGATGGAGCATTTTATCCACCTACGAAGGTTATACATGCTGTGCATTTGGGGTCTAACAGTATTGAATCTGAAGACATCTGGCAAATTGCCAGATCGCATGGCGCCTGAAATCGCATGAGGTATGCCCCTTGCCTTATGCTCAGCCCATCGCGTCAAGGCGAATCTTATAATGTACAACATATGATCGATAGCCCGTTTCCAGTTTAATTTTACTTCGCGTCTTTTCGCAAGGATCTAACGCAGTGCACATCGCACATAAAAGTAAGCACTATTCACTAGTGCTGCTTCCAAAGATTATTAAGCGCTGAAAGACAGTCGCTGACTTCTTTTAGAAGAGATAGAAGAGCTTGTAAATTCTGTATCATGCCGTTCCAAACTCTACTCATAACCCTAAGATATGCAGCTCTCCAGCTAAGGAGATGTCATTTTATCAGCAGTTCAGATAACCTCCGAGAGCAAGTTTTTCAAATAAGTTCGTATTATTTGGTTTTTTTTCGTTTTACGCTCTGAAGCCGATGGATTTTGGTCAAAATGTTGATAATCTTGACGCTTATAGAGATTTCGGACATGCTGTCTACGAAAATCGTAGTTTTCGCGGAATACAGGGTCTCGAGGGAGCTTTAGCTAAGTCGCAAAAGTTCGTAAGCTTGCCTGCGCTTTTCGCGGATCCACTAAAGAGCTTGCCTATCTATATCTGTAGATTAAAGTTACTAGGAACCGTGATAAAGAAAACCGCATGTTTTAGGCTTCAGTCCATAACAATCGCTGAATTACCAATTTACAAAATCACGTTCTCACTAATATTGCTCAAAACGTAAAGATCGCATACTTCGTCTATATTCCCTTGTGAATGATTATACCACACGCTGACTGTAATCTTACGTTCACTCCGCTCAAGGACTCCTACTATTGGATGATAGTTAGATACATCTGAGTTCCAGCCACGAAGCTGCTCCGACATCTTACTAGGTAGCTAGCGCCTATACAACTACCCTATCCACAACGGTAGGATCTCTTCAGCGAAGTGAACTCAAAATTTATAGCGAGGGAATGACGAAGTATGCAATCTTTATATTTTTGGCAATATTAAAGAGAACGTGATTAGTAAACTGGTAACTCGGAAACTATTAGAGACCGAAGCCCAAAACATGCATTTTTTCATAGCACGGTTCCTAGTGAATTAAATCCACAAAAACAAACAGGCAATTTCTCTAACAGGTATGCGTAAAGCGCAGGCGAATTTACGAATTGCGCGACTTA